TAAATAAAGTACTAAATTACAAGTTTATAGTTTTTTTTTATATTTCTTCTTAATCCATTCTTAAAAATTATCTATTTTTCCAGTCGGTCACAGTAGTGTAACTCTTTAAGAGGGATCAACGCTGTGATGGCTAAAAAAGTAGCTCTTTTTTGCGAATTTTTTGGGATGCCCATAAAGCAGGTAGTTAAATAAATGTTTTTGCATTGAATTTATTGTTCTTTGAACTATTAAAAAATATTTTTTTATTTAGTTAAATACATTTTTATTTTAACATAAAATGTATTTGTATTACACGTGCAGGCAATGTAGCACTTTCGGTGCATATTTTCTGTGCCGAAAGCGGCCGTGTAGGCTATGCCAATAACAACACCGTACTCTGTTACCGACCGACCAGGTCGTCAGGCGAGTAGTTATCACAACGAACGCACAAAAAGACGTGCATCAGAGACATTCATTATTCACGGCTTGTCCATTGTACAGTACAAACGTAAAATACAAGTTATCATTAATTACAACTCTACAGTGCTCAAATTCATTTCCCTCTGATTATTGGATATTGTGGGGCGTCCCTTTCAGAGCAGGAAAACATAGAATTGACCCCACAAATGGTGACCCCGACGTTCGTCAAGCAAATAAAGGACGAAGAAATACGCAGAGCACGAGAGAGAAGTCTTGGACACCCTCGCCTTCCGTAAGAAACGCAAGAGCCGATTCAATCCTACATACTCTCGGGATATATTCAAAGCCATCCCGTACCGAAACTCATCAAGGAAACGGCGACCCGATTCGAGCTACGATCAGAGAGGGGCTAGCGAGCAGGACCCGCGAACCAGCACGCGGACAAGGCCATTTTGGATTTCATCATCCTTCGATCGAGATCATTTCCGGACAGCGGCCATCTTTTCGTCCCGCTGACGAGGCTATCTCTCCCGGACAACTGGCCTGATAGAATCCACGACAACCACCCACGCGAGCGTAAAGTAAGTCCGTTCCGACTATTGCGGGCAATTCCTCGTATCGTTACAGTCTCAAACATAAATTTGCGCAACTCTTAGCTCGTGTCGTTACGTCGTTTTGACGCGTAATATACATGTAAGTAAAGCATGATGTCGTCATCGGATCAGTCAGACGGCGCCGACGCGCAGATTAACTCATACCGCGTGCCGAAAATCCCGCCATTTTGACGCCATGATCTTAAAACATGGTTCGCGCAAGTCGAAGCGACATTTCGAGTGGCAAATTGTAAAACAGATCGCACCAAAGCCGATTATCTAATAAGCGCGTTGGAGAGCGAGGTCGTCGAGCATGTTAGTGATCTCATCACGTTAGATCCTCTTCCCGAGAATTTCTATCAAATCATCAAAGAACGAGTTTTGTCAGTGTTCTCGGTATCACCGGAAGCGCGCCTGCGACAGCTATTGAAAGGCCAGGCGCTCGGCGAGAGAAAACCGTCGCATCTTCTTAATCATATGCGTCAGCTAAACGGCGGCCAATGCAGCGCGTCAGTTTTGAAATCACTCTTTTTAGAACAATTGCCGGAATCACAGAGAACAATCCTCGTAGCGATGAATGAACCGGACCTTCAAAAAATCGCGGAAATTGCAGACAAGATAGCTGACATCAGCAGTCAGGATTTGGCATTAGCGCCCATACAAACAAAGGAGCGCAAGTCTAAAACGCACGGCGGCGGTAATCAAAACGTACAGCCGGACATCGCGAGTCAACTATCAGAATTACTTAAACGCGTTACGGCTATCGAAAATAAAATGGCAAAACGCAGACGAGAACGTCCTACCTCGCGTTCGCGTACCAATTCTAAGCAACGCGACGAACAAAAATCCGACGCTAAACCCGGCTTATGTTTTGCGCATAAAAAATACGGTCTCAACGCGAAAGTCTGCCGTAAACCGTGTACCTGGAAAGAAACAGAAGTGTTGGAAAACTAAATACACCTTCTCGATTTGAGGCGGTCAAAAAGGGTGGAACTCGGTACAATCGTCTCCACGTTCACGATCGTATTTCCGGTCATCGTTTCCTAATAGATACGGGCGCGGAAATATCGGTGTTAGCCGCCTCCCCCGAGCAGAGAAAAGCTCCTTCAGAACTCAAACTGTTCGCCGCAAATAATACACGCATCGACACGTTCGGCGAACGCCGTCTCACATTAAACCTCGATCTCCGCCGAGCAATTACGTGGAATTTTCGTTTAGCAGCCGTCCCATTCTCCATAATAGGCGCGGATCTTTTAAAACATTACGGGTTAGATGTTAATCTGAGTAGGCGTCGTCTTACCGATAGCACTACCAAATTGTTCACTACTGGCAGTATTAGTACCGTTCCGAACTTATGTCTTTCTACGATAGACCATTCAAATAGTTTCGCGAACATCCTCGCGGAATTCCAAGAAATCACCGGTGTTTCGCAACAAATCTGTAAGAAATCCAGCGGCGTTGAACACCATATTCTTACAAACGGTCCCCCCACTGCAGAACGTCCCCGTCGTTTGGCACCGGACAAATTAAAAGCTGCTAAAGCCGAGTTCAAAAACCTCATCGAGCTAGAAATTTGTCGGCCGTCTAGCAGCCCATGGGCTAGTCCAATTCATCTAGTTCGAAAAAAATCAGGCGAATGGCGTGTATGCGGCGATTATCGGCGTTTAAACGCCGTAACAATTCCGGATAAATATCCAGTGCCACATTTACACGATTTTTCTGCAAATTTACAGGGCAAGAAAATTTTTTCTTCTATCGATCTTCTCAGAGCGTACCATCAAATACCTGTAGCAGACGAGGACATACAAAAAACTGCGGTCATTACCCTTTTCGGCTTATTTGAATACGTTTCAATGACATTCGGCCTTCGCAATGCCGCTCAAACATTTCAACGGTATATTTATCGCGCACTCAAAGATCTCGACTTCGTTTTTGCGTACATAGACGATATTCTTATAGCTTCCTCGTCAACAGAGGAGCACAAGAAACATCTTCGCACGGTTTTCAGCAGACTTAGGGAGTTCGAACGCTACGCCACACGCTCTTCGATATAACGCTCTATTCCATACGTATTTATACGGCACTCATTATTTTTGATTTCGATTTTCTCGCGTACGCTTGAGAAATGCATTTTATCTCTTTATTCCACAATAATTAAAAGGATTTCATTAAATTGACAAATATAGTTGTACTAAAAAAAAAAAAAAAAAAATTGGCCCTGCGAGGTCTCGAACTCATCTCCTTTAACAGCTACGTGTTACTGGCGCTCATCTGTGCACATAGCACGAAATCGAACCACGTACCGTGCACATAGCCTGTTACCACTCGGGAGCATCGTGCACATGGCTACGTAGTTCAATGTGCACGTTTTGTGCACATAGAGGCGTTTTGAATTCCGGTTGCAGCTAAATCGAGGGGATGACCACTCTCATCCTTCTCTCTGGCGGAATGGACGTTTTTTAGTATGGTGTGTTACTGGAATGGGTTTTAATTGACGCATGTATTGACGGAAATCTTCAACAAAGATTTGTGGGTCAGGAGTGAAGTTGTCGTGTAAGAAAAATTCGCCCGGCACGCGTAAGGTTGTGCCATAAATGAATTCCGCTGGCGAAGCGCTGGTGTCTAAACGTACATGGGTGCGTAAACCGAGTAAGACTGTCGAAAGTACGCTAACCCAGTCGGGGGTGTCATGACACATATGCTGCTTTTAGCGTACGGTGCCACCTTTCAACTAAGCCGTTCGCGGCTGGGTGGTACGCCGTAGTACGGATTCGTTTACAGCCCGCGAGAGATAACAGAGCGGAAAAGAGTTGTGACTCGAATTAAGCGCCTTGATCTGTAGTAAGGATTCGTGGCGCGCCGAATCGCGCGATCCAATTATCGAAGAACGCTTGTGCCACTGTTTTCGCTGATATTTCGCGGATAGGAATAGCCTCCGGCCAGCGTGAAAAGCGATCTATAAAAGTTAAACAGTATTTGTAGTTTTGACATGTAGGCAGAGGGCCTATAATATCCATGTGCACGTGATCGAACCGCGCGTCCGGAGCGATGAACTGCGCTGGGGTTTGTTTAACGTGTCGTGTGGTTTTACATTGCTGGCAGTGTACGCACGCTCGAGCCCATTCCGCAACGTTGCGGTGTAAATTAGGCCAAATATAACGCTGACGAATTATACGATCGGTGACTTTCGCATTCGGATGCGCGGGATCGTGGAACATGTCAAAAACTCGCTTTCTAATCGATGCTGGGATGTACGGACGGATAGCTTCACCTGACAATCCACAGTATAATTCTGTGTGAGATGTTCCCCAAATTAGTTTTTTAAATTTGAGAGAACAATTATCGGACTTGAGCAATTGTTTGAGCTCGTCATCTTGGGCCTTTTGATTTGCTAAGACGACTAGTTCAACTTCCACGGGAAGACGCACGGCTTCTATACGTGATAAGCTGTCTGCTACCGTGTTGTTATCGCCTGGTAGGTATTCTATAACAGTAGTGAATTGCGCGATAAAGGACAATTGTCTTATTTGCCTAGACGCGGCTTTGTCGGATCGTTGGTTAAACGCGTAAATTAAAGGTTTATGGTCTGTTAAGATTTTGAATGTGCGACCTTCCAGAAAATGTCTGAAAAATTTAATTGCTTCATAAACTGCTGTCAGTTCGCGATCGTTCCCTCAGGGGCACTACAGACTCATCCCTGTAGTGTACGGGTGTCGCAATCCCGAGGTACCCGAGCTGGAGTGTGTGCGAAGGATGAATGGGGCGTGATGGGCGTGCAGGCCTAAAAAGGACTTGTCCACTGCACTAGGTGAAGGAAAACACCGAAGATAACACCCGGGGGGGAGGCCCCGTTAGCTGAGTAAGGCAACCTCCTAAGGGGAAGGAAAACCCCCGACAGAAAAAACCAAATTTTCTTTTTCAGATGGGATGACATCGAAGAAAAGAGACGACTTCCCAGGGTCGGATACTGGGAACCGGCGTGGGGGGGGTGTAGGCCTGGCTCCCCTCATGTCGTCATCATACGACAGGTCATCTGTGGCTTTGCCGGCTGGGGCCACAGATGAGGAAGTGACAGTGCCGTGTGAGCTGGACATAGATGAAGTGGAGGATCAGCTCATCAAGGTGGATATAACCTTGGAGAGTTTAGAGCAGGGTGTCGAGCCGAGTGAACTTGTGGTCGATGTTCACCGGCTGCTCCAGGATGGGGACATCCGCGAGTTTCGGTTTCTTGGTGTGTACAAGAAACTTGCCAAGAATACCGAGAGATTCTTGTTGGACTGTGTAAATGGCGAATCACCGTTTTGCCATTTACATAAGTGCGTGCGGTTTTTTGACCCTATCGAACTCAGTGACTCAGAGGTGAGTGGGTCCGGGGAGTCGGGGAGGGTCTCTTCTTCAGAGATTCCTTCGCCGGAAAAGATTCGTGGTGAAAGTGACGGTGAGTGTGAACCGGGGGTGAGCTTCATCACGGTCTCCTCGCCGAGTTCACCGGAGGACGATGGGAGAGACGCAGACTTCCAGGTGTGGGACAAGCGGCTGTTAACTGGAAGGAAGCAGTACCCCCGCAAAAATACTGGAGGTAAGTGTGCCGGACGCACTAAGCGTGGTCGCCCCAAAACAACTGGGGACTATGTAAATATCGCGGAAGCCAAGGAGCGTGTCTTACGTGCAGAAAGGCAGGAGGTCCTTTTGAAGGACCTCAATAGACTTTTGGATCCGAGTTTAGGACCAAACCTCACCGCAGTGGGAAGGGAGAATATCCCCTCGGATGAGGTCTTTAGGTCCAGCCTTGTGAGAGTCACCAATTTGGAGCTCCGGAGGTTGGCCGGGTTGTCTGCCACACAAGTGGAGAAGGCATCCGATGTCACTGGTCTCGATGAGGTCGTGGCCAGGGATCTTCGGGTGTCTTCAATGAGGCTTGTGGGTATTTTCGATGAGATGGCCAAGCGGGTCGTCGCTGAAACGGATCCACAGACTGAGGCACTGAGGACCGAGAACCTGGGACTGCGGGATCGGATCGCGGCTTTGGAGCGCGATCGAGATAGGGTTGAGGCGGAGATGGCGAGCTTTCGGGCGGCCATTCCGCAGTTGGAAGCGGAATACTTTTTTGGCGTCAGGGGAGCAAGGAAGCGACCTTGTCCGGCATCATCCCCGGGATCGCCATCGGGACAGGTGGTAGCAGGGACGGTTTTGGCTGGGAGTCATCCCGTCACTATGGCGGACCTGTCGTCCATATTGGACAGGCGTTTTGCCGACCTTAGGGTCGACATATCTGCTGCCGTGTTGGCTAACATTAAGCCATTGCTTACTGGGCGGGCTGGGGACTCTTCTCCGGAAGTGACCCCCAGGCGTGCGCCCAAGGCAAGCGTTGTCGGTGTCCGTGGGCCATCGGCTGGTCCCGTGGCCGGGGGCTCCGCCGCCTCTGCTCTTGCAAAGGCTTCGGTGGATGCCTCTGCCCCCGGGGCTAGTACAAGGGGTAGACGTCGTCGTCGTCGTGGGGGGTCCTCTGCTAAGAGGATCCCTTCTTCGGGCGCTCCCGCCCTAAAGAGGAAGAGCCGAATTCCTCCCCCTTCCTCTGCGTCGGTAATTTCGCTGACGGTCGGAAGGGGGGAACGGGATAGGACTTACGCCTCGGTATTATCCGAGGCTAAGTCTAAAATAGACGCCAAAGAGCTAGGGATTGAGTCCATGCACATGAAGAGAGGAGTAACCGGCAGCATTTTGTTGTCGGTTCGAGGTAGAGACTCGTCCGTGAAGGCAGACGCACTTGCGGAAAAGATGAAGGAAGTGTTCCCGTCATCAGGAACGATCAGAGTTGGCCGCCCCTCACGAACGGAAGACATCCGTTTAAAGGGGATGATGGCTTTTGTTGGTCGCCAGGACATCCTTGACAGGGTTGCCTTAGTTGGAGGCTGCAAGGCTGAGGATCTACAAGCAGGAGTGATCCGCTTGTCTCCTGGAACGGGTTTCGGGACGCTGTGGATTCGTTGCCCATCTGGAGTAGCGCGAAGGCTCGTTGCTGCCGGTAGCATTGTGATGTCGGGGGGATGGGAAAGGCTAGATGTTGTTCATCTGGCCCGTCGCCCCCTGCAATGTTATCGGTGTCACGAATTTGGTCACTCGGCCAATGGTTGTGGAGCCGACACTGATCGTAGCGGTATGTGCTACAGGTGTGGTTGCGCGGGGCACAAGGCGGCCAACTGCGTGGCGCCGCCTCGATGTCATTCGTGTGCTTCCAGGGGGAAACCCTCTGGACATCGCTGTGGGTCGACGGTTTGCGCTCGTGTGCGCGTGCCTCCTAAGAGGTGTCGGGAGAGCGCGCCTGCTGCCGAGCGCGTTCAGGCTCCGGGGCGCCCCGATGGGGGGCCTGCGAGCCCGGAGTGGACGAGGGTAGACTGTAGCCGGGGGCGGGGGAAGTCGCGGAGAGGCGGCTCCCCCGTGCCGGGCTGCAGTTCTGCCCCCGATGTTTAGTGTCGGTTTTGTCCTTTGTTGTCGTAGTGTGTAGCGGTGGGTGCGGGGAGTTCTGGGGAGGTTGCTGAAAGGTGACTCCGTGGTCTCCCTGCCCCGCCAAGTTTATGTTGTAGGTTGCGGTGATGGGTGATGGAGCGCCGGGGAGGTTGCCGAGAGGTGACTCCGCGGCCTCTTCACCCACGCCAAGTATATGTTGTTTACAGTTTTATTGTCTTTTGTCATAGGTGGGAGTAACAACCCTCCCATCTTTATTGTGGTTGGCCATAGCGCCTTGTTGTTGGCCCCCTTGGGGGCTGGGCCTGTGACCCTTACTATGTATTAAGGTGGTTTGTGTACATGTTTCGTGCACGTTATGTACTGTAATCGTCCTGTGACGTTTTGTGTGTGGGTGGGTGACTGCGGTCACCTCACTTACCGGGTTGGCAGAGAGAGGGGTGGGGGCCCCGCTCTCATTGCACGTCGACCCTGGGAAGTCCGGGGGGAGCTAGTAGCCCGGCTCCCCTCGATGCCCTTTCGAGGCAAGGGATGTCCTCTCCGGGGGGATACCTGTAGTATCCTCCCGGGGGATGTGTCCTACCTTCAGGACGCCGGTCGGGTGTCCACCGTGAAGTAATGCTTACGCGGTTCCGCGGTGGACAATACCCATACGACCAGGGGCTTCAGTCAGGTTTTAGGTCGGTCCCCCGCCCGATAGTCCCTCGGGATACTACGGGCGGGAATCCACCACGAAGCCTCCTGACCCTCCCTCAGGGGTCAGGACGGCGAAGTTTGGTTTAGGCAAATTTCCTGACTAAAAAAAAAAAAAAAAAAAAAAGTTCGCGATCGTACGCGCTGTATTTCTGTTGAGCTGAGGTAAATTTGCGCGAGAAGAACGCGAGTGGTTTCCACGAACCGAATAGTTTTTGTTCGAGGACAAAACTGTGCGCGTTTCAGCAGTGTCGGAAGGATGACTTAATAATACTGCATTTACTAGATTCTGTTTGGACTTTACGAATGCCAGCGGAATTCATTTATGGCACAACCTTACGCGTGCCGGGCGAATTTTTCTTACACGACAACTTCACTCCTGACCCACAAATCTTTGTTGAAGATTTCCGTCAATACATGCGTCAATTAAAACCCATTCCAGTAACACACCATACTAAAAAACGTCCATTCCGCCAGAGAGAAGGATGAGAGTGGTCATCCCCTCGATTTAGCTGCAACCGGAATTCAAAGCGCCTCTATGTGCACAAAACGTGCACATTGAACTACGTAGCCATGTGCACGATGCTCCCGAGTGGTAACAGGCTATGTGCACGATACGTGGTTCGATTCCGTGCTATGTGCACAGATGAGCGCCAGTAACACGTAGCTGTTAAAGGAGATGAGTTCGAGACCTCGCAGGGCCAATTTTTTTTTTTTTTTTTTTAGTACAACTATATTTGTCAATTTAATGAAATTCTTTTAATTATTGTGGAATAAAGAGATAAAATGCATTTCTCAAGCGTACGCGAGAAAATCGAAATCAAAAATAATGAGTGCCGTATAAATACGTATGGAATAGAGCGTTATATCGAAGAGCGTGTGGCGTAGCGTTCGAACTCCCTAAGTCTGCTGAAAACCGTGCGAAGATGTTTCTTGTGCTCCTCTGTTGACGAGGAAGCTATAAGAATATCGTCTATGTACGCAAAAACGAAGTCGAGATCTTTGAGTGCGCGATAAATATACCGTTGAAATGTTTGAGCGGCATTGCGAAGGCCGAATGTCATTGAAACGTATTCAAATAAGCCGAAAAGGGTAATGACCGCAGTTTTTTGTATGTCCTCGTCTGCTACAGGTATTTGATGGTACGCTCTGAGAAGATCGATAGAAGAAAAAATTTTCTTGCCCTGTAAATTTGCAGAAAAATCGTGTAAATGTGGCACTGGATATTTATCCGGAATTGTTACGGCGTTTAAACGCCGATAATCGCCGCATACACGCCATTCGCCTGATTTTTTTCGAACTAGATGAATTGGACTAGCCCATGGGCTGCTAGACGGCCGACAAATTTCTAGCTCGATGAGGTTTTTGAACTCGGCTTTAGCAGCTTTTAATTTGTCCGGTGCCAAACGACGGGGACGTTCTGCAGTGGGGGGACCGTTTGTAAGAATATGGTGTTCAACGCCGCTGGATTTCTTACAGATTTGTTGCGAAACACCGGTGATTTCTTGGAATTCCGCGAGGATGTTCGCGAAACTATTTGAATGGTCTATCGTAGAAAGACATAAGTTCGGAACGGTACTAATACTGCCAGTAGTGAACAATTTGGTAGTGCTATCGGTAAGACGACGCCTACTCAGATTAACATCTAACCCGTAATGTTTTAAAAGATCCGCGCCTATTATGGAGAATGGGACGGCTGCTAAACGAAAATTCCACGTAATTGCTCGGCGGAGATCGAGGTTTAATGTGAGACGGCGTTCGCCGAACGTGTCGATGCGTGTATTATTTGCGGCGAACAGTTTGAGTTCTGAAGGAGCTTTTCTCTGCTCGGGGGAGGCGGCTAACACCGATATTTCCGCGCCCGTATCTATTAGGAAACGATGACCGGAAATACGATCGTGAACGTGGAGACGATTGTACCGAGTTCCACCCTTTTTGACCGCCTCAAATCGAGAAGGTGTATTTAGTTTTCCAACACTTCTGTTTCTTTCCAGGTACACGGTTTACGGCAGACTTTCGCGTTGAGACCGTATTTTTTATGCGCAAAACATAAGCCGGGTTTAGCGTCGGATTTTTGTTCGTCGCGTTGCTTAGAATTGGTACGCGAACGCGAGGTAGGACGTTCTCGTCTGCGTTTTGCCATTTTATTTTCGATAGCCGTAACGCGTTTAAGTAATTCTGATAGTTGACTCGCGATGTCCGGCTGTACGTTTTGATTACCGCCGCCGTGCGTTTTAGACTTGCGCTCCTTTGTTTGTATGGGCGCTAATGCCAAATCCTGACTGCTGATGTCAGCTATCTTGTCTGCAATTTCCGCGATTTTTTGAAGGTCCGGTTCATTCATCGCTACGAGGATTGTTCTCTGTGATTCCGGCAATTGTTCTAAAAAGAGTGATTTCAAAACTGACGCGCTGCATTGGCCGCCGTTTAGCTGACGCATATGATTAAGAAGATGCGACGGTTTTCTCTCGCCGAGCGCCTGGCCTTTCAATAGCTGTCGCAGGCGCGCTTCCGGTGATACCGAGAACACTGACAAAACTCGTTCTTTGATGATTTGATAGAAATTCTCGGGAAGAGGATCTAACGTGATGAGATCACTAACATGCTCGACGACCTCGCTCTCCAACGCGCTTATTAGATAATCGGCTTTGGTGCGATCTGTTTTACAATTTGCCACTCGAAATGTCGCTTCGACTTGCGCGAACCATGTTTTAAGATCATGGCGTCAAAATGGCGGGATTTTCGGCACGCGGTATGAGTTAATCTGCGCGTCGGCGCCGTCTGACTGATCCGATGACGACATCATGCTTTACTTACATGTATATTACGCGTCAAAACGACGTAACGACACGAGCTAAGAGTTGCGCAAATTTATGTTTGAGACTGTAACGATACGAGGAATTGCCCGCAATAGTCGGAACGGACTTACTTTACGCTCGCGTGGGTGGTTGTCGTGGATTCTATCAGGCCAGTTGTCCGGGAGAGATAGCCTCGTCAGCGGGACGAAAAGATGGCCGCTGTCCGGAAATGATCTCGATCGAAGGATGATGAAATCCAAAATGGCCTTGTCCGCGTGCTGGTTCGCGGGTCCTGCTCGCTAGCCCCTCTCTGATCGTAGCTCGAATCGGGTCGCCGTTTCCTTGATGAGTTTCGGTACGGGATGGCTTTGAATATATCCCGAGAGTATGTAGGATTGAATCGGCTCTTGCGTTTCTTACGGAAGGCGAGGGTGTCCAAGACTTCTCTCTCGTGCTCTGCGTATTTCTTCGTCCTTTATTTGCTTGACGAACGTCGGGGTCACCATTTGTGGGGTCAATTCTATGTTTTCCTGCTCTGAAAGGGACGCCCCACAATATCCAATAATCAGAGGGAAATGAATTTGAGCACTGTAGAGTTGTAATTAATGATAACTTGTATTTTACGTTTGTACTGTACAATGGACAAGCCGTGAATAATGAATGTCTCTGATGCACGTCTTTTTGTGCGTTCGTTGTGATAACTACTCGCCTGACGACCTGGTCGGTCGGTAACAGAGTACGGTGTTGTTATTGGCATAGCCTACACGGCCGCTTTCGGCACAGAAAATATGCACCGAAAGTGCTACATTGCCTGCACGTGTAATACAAATACATTTTATGTTAAAATAAAAATGTATTTAACTAAATAAAAAAATATTTTTTAATAGTTCAAAGAACAATAAATTCAATGCAAAAACATTTATTTAACTACCTGCTTTATGGGCATCCCAAAAAATTCGCAAAAAAGAGCTACTTTTTTAGCCATCACAGCGTTGATCCCTCTTAAAGAGTTACACTACTGTGACCGACTGGAAAAATAGATAATTTTTAAGAATGGATTAAGAAGAAATATAAAAAAAAACTATAAACTTGTAATTTTGTACTTTATAAAGTATTTATTAATTTAAAAAATATTTTAATTTTGGATTAATTTTTAAATTAAAAATTATTATAAAAATCCTGTAATATTTAGAAATTAACAAAAATTTGAGTTTATCCTTGGGTACTTTAGAGAAATTTCTTTAAAAAAATTTTTCAACAAGATGTATAAATTCTTCTACACAAGTGAAAAAATTAGTTTTTTTATAATTAAAATGATATAAAAATAATATAACGTTTTTTGTACATGCTAATAATATTTAAATAGTAAAATTACTTAAAATATATTAACTATAAAATATAATTTATAATTATACAAAAAATATATTCTAAAAATTAAATATATTTCAAAATAAATTGCTAATTTAAATACCGGTTTAACATAAACGTACATCAAAAATAAAAAATCGAAACGATAGAATTATATATATTATAATGACAAAATTCGCAATTTTTGTGTAAATTGACAACATTTTTAATATTTATAGATCTTAAAAATAATCCCATTTATATATATAAATAATATAAGGGCTTGACAAAATCGCATAAATACACTTGATATTTGTATAACTTATTGGTAAGTCTTTTGTACAATCTTTATTGTAATATGTACCGATAAGCAAGAATATGTAGTTTAGCAACAAGTTATCT